GTTTCTGCCTCCCCCACTATTTTCTGCCAGACATTCTTAGGTTAGCAGAACTTTTGGCTTTTTCTTACTGTTTCCTATCCGTCTCTGTGACAGTTCCTTCTCTGACCCCGCTTTATTTGGTATGTGAAAGTTCCAGATTTTGCTTTTCAGCTTTCAATCTCTCTCAAACATACCAGAGGGCCCTCTGATCAGTTTGTCTATCTGGCCACCACCGCTCTGATGAGATATCATGTATGAATCAATGTGTCCACCAAAGGATACAATCTACTCTTTTTCATTTATTACTTCTTTCTTATCTCTATTTCTACAATCATGTTCTTAGTCAGAAAATTCATACCTCATGAGCTCCCTTCTGGGCTGGGTGCTGCTCTCTGGTTTTGCCTGGAGTGACTTAGGTCTGTGACGTCATTCAAGAGTAACATGGATAAGCCTTCCTCTATTTCAGAAGGTGTTTGTAGTCTCAGAAGGACCTCCAAGAAATCTTTTGCCTTGGTTTTGGATCCTCTGTGGTCTAGTGGTGGTTGAAAAAGCATGCTTCACTTAGATGTCCCACCGCCTGACTGCTCCACACGAAACCTATTGGGTGAGTCACAGTCTGAATGAACCCTGACAGAAGTCTTTCTGTCCTGTTGCTCTCAGACCCTGTCCTGCATTTTTGACTGAACAAGTAGCTTTCACTTAAGATTCTCACTTCTTCCCACAGAGTAGCTTAGGTCAGCAATTCTCAGTGTAAATTAAGAAGGAGCAAACAGATCCCAACTGATTTTCCAGAGAGGTCTGTCACATTGGTTTCAGAGGCCAGAGTTACGACATAGAGGGCTGACTATGAGAGAGGACTGCTCCGGGGCATCTTCTTCCACAACAGAAAACTCCTATCTCTTGAGCTCCCTTCTGGGCTGGGTGTTGCTCTCTAGCCTAGAGTGACCTCTATCTGTGATGTCATTCAGGATGATGTAAAGTGGACAGACTTTCCTCTATTTCAGAAAGTATTGGTATTTCCCAGAAGGAGCTCAAAGATTGTTCAAACTCAAGTCAAGAAACACTGAGCTTGTTTTCCATTTTGTTTTTCTAGCTCTTCCCCCTTGTACATTTCATTGTAACACTTTGTCTTCTTCAGCTCTCCTTTGATATCCTCTGTTCAACTCTCTTAGCTCAGCATTCCTTCCCCTTGTTTTGGCTTCCTTTCATGCCAATGCAAGTTTCAGGATCTTTTCTGAAATCCATTTTGGTCTTTTATTTCTTTCTTGTCTTGTAAAGACTTTCAGCTTTTTTCTCGAATGATGTTCTTGATGTCATCACACGGCTTCTGGTCTTCAGTCACTAGTGTTCAATGCATAATATCTATTCTTAAGATAGATTTTAAATTCAGTTGGAATGCACTCAAGATCATATTTTGGTTCTTGTGGACTTGTTTTCATGTTCTTAAACTTCAATTTGAACTTGCACATGAGTAGTTATTGTTTGTTCCACAGTCAGCCCTTGGCCTAGTTTCTACTGATTCTATTGATCATTTACAACTTTTCTTTCCACAGAGATAGTCTATCTGATCCCTATAAAGTCCACCAAGTGAAATCCATGTTTATAGTCTCAGTATATGTCTTTTAAAAAAGTATTTAAAATGAATAAATAATTCAGCCTCATTTCTGTCATCAATGCCTTATTTCCCAACTATTAGTCCTTCTTTGCTTCTAAATTTTGCATCCCAACCACTAATTTTTATTAATACATCCAGATTGCATGTTAGATTTCAGACTACAAAAGTTAGTAGAAATCCTAAATTAATCTTTGACTTTAGTGGTTGGTGCACATATTTGAATAATAGTTGTATTAACAGGAGTTCCTAATGTGTGTATGGATAGTATCCTATCACACTCACAGTACTGTACTTGAGGATAGGTTTTTAAAAAAAATATTTTATATTGGTAGGATAGATCTTGAAATGCCCTTTTTAATGAAGAATACCACAATACTATTGTTAGGTGCCACTGAATTGAGTACAACACATTGTGACCCTATGAACAACAGATCTGAACCTTGTTCTAGCCTGTACCATTCTCACAACCTGTTATATGCCTGAGTCCATTGCTGCAGTCATTGTGTCTATTTTGTTGAGGGTCTTCCTCTCTTTTGTCAACCCTCCGCTTTTCCAAGCATGATGTACCTTAATAAGGAATAGATTTTCTTAGCAACATGCCCAAAATATGTGAGAGGAAGCTTCATCATCTTTGTGTCCAAGGAGCATTCTAGTTGTATTTTTCTAAGACCTATCTGTTCTCTTGCAAGTCCGTGAAATAATCAGTTATTCTTTTTCAACACCACAGCTCAAAGGCATCAATTAATCTTGTAGCTCTCAAATGTGTAACAAGTAATTGAAAAAGCCATGGCCTGAATCAGGTGCACCTTAGTCCTCAAACTGACATCATTCCTCCTCAATCATTTGGAGAGGATCCTGACAGCAGGCTTTCCCAGTGGAATACATCTTCTGCTCTCCTGACTGCTGATAACCAAGTGTGTTGATTGTGGATCCAAGTAAGACGGAGTCATTGACAACTTCAATCTTTTCTCCATCTATCATGATTGCTTATAGATCTGTGGTAAAAATTTTTGTTTTCTGACATTTAGATGCAATCTATGTTGAAGACTGTATTCTTTGGTCTTCTGCAGGAAGTGCTTCAAATCCTCCTCACTTTCAGCAAGCAAATTGTGTCATTTGCATAATGTAGATTATTGAGGAGTCCTTTATAGAGTCCAGCTTCTTAAATAATTTGTTCAGAATACAGATTGAATAGATATGGAAAAAAGATACAACCCTGACACAGTGCTTCCTTAATTTTCAACCTTGTAGTGTTTCTTGGTCAAGGTATAGGTTTTGCATGAGCACAGTTAAGTGTTCTGGGGTTTCTATTCTGCTCAATGTTAGCTATAATTTGTTCTGATCAACACTGTCAAATGCCTTTGAAAAGTCAATAAAGTACAAATAGACATTCTTCTGGTATTATTTACTTTCAGCCAGGATCCATTTGACATCAACAATGATATCCCTGGTGCCATGGCCTCTTCTAAACCCTGCTTGAACCTTGCAGAGAACTGAACTTCTGGCAGTTCTCTTATCCATTGTTCCAGCCATTTTAAAATATCATCAGTAGTAATTTGCTTGCATGTGATGTTAATGATATTGTTCAATAGTTTACACATTCTGTTGAATCACCTTTCTTGAAAATGGGAACAGTTATATATCTCTTTAGCCAGGCAGCTGTCCTCCAAATTTGCACCAGAGACTGGTGAGCACATCTCGGGCTGCATCTATTAGTTGAAATATGTCAATGTTCCATTTGTTCCTGGACCTTTACTTTTTGCAAGTGCCTTCAGTGGAACTTCAAGGTTTTCTTTCATTACCATTGGTTCTTGATTGTATAATACTTCTTGAAATAGTTCAGGGTCAGCTGATTTTTTTTGTGAGTGTGCATATGTGTGTATATTTCCTCCATTTTCTTTTGATACTTCTTAGATCATTTAAGATTTAACCCATAGCATCCTTCAGCATTATTGAGGTTTCAATTTATTTTTCAGTTCTTTCACCTTGAGAAATACTGAGAGTTCTTCCTTTTTTAATTCTCCAATTCCAGCTCTCTACATATTTTGTTTTAATACTTTGCTTTGTCTTCTAAAGCTTCGCTTTGAAATCTTCTGTTCTGCTTTTTGCTTCAGCTTCTCTTCCCTTTGTTTTGGCTTCTTGACATTCTAGTGCAATTTTCAGAGTCTCTTCTGATATCCATTTTGGTTTTTCCTTTCTCATCTGTCTTTGTAATGATCTTTTCTTTTGCTCCCTTCATAGGTGTTATCCTTGATGTCATCCTACAACTCATCTATCCTTCAGTTGCTGGAGTTCAATGCTTCAAACCTATTCTTACAATCGCTTTTAAATTCAGGTGCGATAGATTCAAGATCTCAGTTTTGTTCTTGTGGTCTTGTTTTAATTTTCTTCGGTCTTAATTTGAACTTGTACATGAGTCCTTGATGTTTCACAGTCAGTACCTGGCCTGGTTTTGACTGCTGATATTGAGCTTCTCCAATGATCCTTTCATTTGATATAGTCAATCTGATTCCTATGCAGTCCATCAGGTGAGGTCCATGTGTAAACTCACCATTTGTGTTTTTTTTTTTAAAAGGTCTTTGCAATGAACAAATCATTGTACACACAAAATTTGATAATTCTATTTCTGGTCTTGTTTCTGTCACTAAGTCAGTACTTTCTGGCTATCATTCCTCCTTTATTGTTTCCAAATTGTGCATTTCAGTCACTAATTATTATTAATGCATCTTGACTGCATATTTGATCAATTTTAGACTGCAGAACGTGGGTAAAAATGTTCAATTTCCTCCTCTTTGATTTTAGTTATTTGTGCATATATTTGGATAATAGTTGTATTAACAGGTCTTCCTTGTATGTGTATGGATAATATCCTATTACTCACAACATTATACTTCAGGAAAGCACTTGAAATTGTCTTTTCCCCTTTTTAAAAATGTATTATTTCAATGAAAATTTACAGAGACTTTGGATTTCCATTCATTCATTCATTGTTGCACTTTTCTCCCTGCCCAACCCTCCCCCCCCCGCCCAGGACACTCTTCTCCTTGAAAAGTAAAAGAAGGCGGCGCGCGGCGATGGCGGCACCAGGCCGAAATCCCTGCTGACTGTAAGCCGTGCAAGGTCCAGACCCTCGCGAACTGGAAACCGCGCCAGGTCCGAACTCTGGTTGACCCTAAGCCGCGCCAGGTCCGAACTCGGATTGATCGTAAGCCGCGCCAGATCCAAACTCTGACCGACTGTAAGCTGCGTCAGGTCGAAACCCCCGCCAACCGAAAGCCGTCCCAGCCCCAGCATCAGTCCGTTCAAAGCAAGGCCAGCGGACGTGACCGATCCTCTCAGGCCGTGGGTGAAGAACAGAGTCCCAACCCGCACGTGCAGGAGTGAGGAGATGGCTCAGAAGCAGCAGATGGCCCGCAGCGAGGAGGTGGCCCCCAGCGAAGCCGTGGTCCCGGAGGAGGGCCTGGTTCCAGACGGGGACGTGGTCCTGGACGAGGACGTGGTCCCATACGGAGAAGCGTCCGAAAGCGAGGACATAGCGACGACTGGGATCCTGGTGACCATCACTCACAGCAATGAGAAGTATGACATTAACGTTAGCCCACAGCAGGGCACTGGCGAACCAGTTGTCCAAGACTTGGTCCAGCTTGTTGAAGAAGCCATAGGAGTTCCAGTGTCTTCTCAGAAACTCATATTTAAGGGAAAATCTCTAAAGGATATGGAACAGCCCTTGTCAGCACTTGGAATACAAAATGGATGTCGGGTCATGCTAATCGGGAAAAAGGAAAGATCAGAGGAAGAGGTTGAAATAAAGAAGTTGAGAATTTTGGAAAAAGCTGTGGAGAAGACAGCCAACCAACTGGAAGAGTTGAGTACAGATTTTGCTGGAATCCAGCAGGGTTTTTTGGCCAATGAAATGCAAGTTGAAGCTCTCTGCAAACTTGATAGAAGAGTGAAAGCAACAATTGAACAGTTTATGAAGATTTTAGAGGAAATCGACACACTGATT